TCTTGATGGTCTAATGTACTGGAAAAAGCATGTCAAGAAAACATACAGCAAGATTAATCCCAAATCCAACCTAGAGAGCAAAATCACAAATCAATTAATATAATAATCATTTATACCTGCTTGCCCATGAGCAAAGTGGCATTTATCGGAAAAGGGACAATGACTGGTTGTCTCCCATTTTGTACATAATTTTGTCTTCCAGTAAACAGGCTTCATCATCATCATCATGTTGTTGTTGTTAGCAGACCTATTAACTTCAGATTGAGTACCCCCGCTTCCATGCACCACTGGCGGAGGAGTGGTTCCAATGCTGATAGCAGAGCTTTCTCTAAACCTATTATCATCTCTAAACTTGGCAGGATCTTCATGAAGGAAATTGCACCTTTCCCCATAAGGGCATTCCTCCCCATTATAAAACTTTTTGCATAGCTTCATCCTGTGAATGATCCTCTGATCATCCTCCCAATTCCCTGATGATCTTTCCTCATCACCACGCGCCCCTACAAGTTCTTGCCAATTTGGTGGGGGTTGTCGCAAATCTTCAACCCCATGAGCGAAGTTGCAATTCTCACCATTCCTGCAATTACCAGCTCTGAATTTGGCACACACCCGGGTCTTGAAAAAGATGTTGCTTGTCCCCTTGTTGACTGGAGGGTTTATGGGTGTCCTAGAATTGGACTGGTATGGTGAAGAACTAGATTGGTTATCTTCGTGCCTTGATCTCTTGAAAGGAGGAGGCTGCTGCTGTTGATCAAATTGTGTATGAAGATCAAAGCTTTCATTGCTCATTGGATACTGAGGCCATATGCCAATTGCATCAGACCCACCACCATTGAAAGGTGTTTGCATAATCGAAGGGTGAGAATCAGAGTAACTCATATCAGTTAAATTTCAAGGCCTGAACTTTTCTGTCAGTTGCAGAATAAGATTTTATCGGTGATCAATTGTCAAATATATCGTCGGAATGAGTAATCAGACTTTTCGGCACAATAGAATTTAAAAAAAAATCCAAAAAAAATAAAGAGATGATGATCAATAAAGACGGGAGACAACGATATTCAAACAGAACACAAGTAAAATCTCGGAGAAAAAACAATAGTTATATAGGCAACCAAAGAAACCTGGATTGAACTTGCTTACATGAATGATGAATGCTTAGAGAAAAAGAAATCTCGAAAATCAACGAAACCTAATTGACTTCGGCAGAAAGACTAGGAACTAATCACGAATACCCAGATGAGTATTTGGATTTAATACAAATTTAATTGCGAAAAATCAAAACTCCGAATTGGATTAAAACTGAAAATAAACAGGGGTGATCACTGATCAATGTCAGCGTCTTGAAAATACAATGTGAACAACTGAAATTGGGAAACCCTAGATGCTACTCAAGGTGAGAACAGTGTATTTATATACAAGGGGCGGGATCGGTGGGGAAGTCAACAGCAGTAGCCGCCAATGCGCAAATCCTAAACCTAATTTGATTGTAGCCCTAACAAGAGGAGAAGAAGAAAACCTAAAAACTAAAGCCCTAAGTGGCGAAAACCCTAACTCCTCTAAAACCCTGGCGTCACGGAACTAACCGACCGTTAAAGATTTCTTAATTATTACTTGCTAACTATAAATAAAAAATTTTGGAATGGTTTCCAAATATTTAATTTCATTTCGTACGGCTCGAACAAAAACATCTCGATATTGATTGAAATAGATATATAATAGAAAGTTCGAAACTTATTAATTCTTTCATTCAATATTATTTAAAAAATAAA